TAAAATCGTAACTGTTATTATACATTATTTTGCTCAAACTTAAAACTAGTATATAGATACATGTGGACTAACGAGACTAACGAGACTAACCGATATTAGAAACCGTCGCTAAGAGCCCATACATCACACTCCATTATGTTTTTTACATCGGACGAGTGTCGTTGTTTTCTTCGTTCTTCGAAATTCGAAACCGTTTCGAAAGGGATAAGGGTGATACTAAGTCGTGTAAGGGGTGAGGATGAAAGAGGACGAGGTGGGAGAAAAATAAAACGTACGAAATGGCGGATGATTCTTTCTCTTTCTCTCTCTTTTTCTCTTTTTTTCTCTCTTTCTCTTGCTCGCTATATTATGTAAGCAAACACATACGCGCACGCGTATGTATATATATACATACTATTATATATATATGTACGTCAAATACGCCAAAATAACAGCAAGGATATTCTATCACTAAAACTCAAGGATCACCAATTGTCGATCATGCGCCAAGGACGTGAAAAGCCACCGTCCACCAATATTTCATCTTTGTCCTCTTTCGTTGATATTCGTACGCTCGTTCCAGTCTCGTGAGATTGCTTGGAAGAAGAAGAATTCTATTATTTCATTTCATACCGACTGTAACTCTTCTCGTCTTTATCGATTATCGTTCCAAAGTCTAAGAGAAATTTCGAAATCGAGGGATATGTGTTCTCGCGTACAAATTATCTTGTTTTCTTCACCGTTTTATAAGAATGAAATAAAAGAAGATAGAGGATTGAGATACATAGAATAAAGCCGATAATTTAAGGATTAAAAATAATTTAAAATAATTAAAAATAATTAGCATCGAAATTGTAAAATTTAATCGAATGTTTAAACTTAAGAAAATAAAAAAGAAAGTATTGTCTCATGGATTTAAAGGAAACTATATCAATGTTGATTGTAACCTAAATTCTTATTACACAAATTAGCAAATAAAATATTATTAGAAAATATAAGAAAAAAAATTTTTGTTGCATTCTTTTTTATTTCTTCAAATTCTCTTAGAACGAAAAATGTACAGTATACTTACAAATATTATGTGTTTTCATCTGCAAGTAAATGAAAATCAGATGAAATCCCATTGGATGTAATCGGAAGATGATTCTTTCTCTTGTAAAAACGAGCGAGAATAAGAATAAAATGGAAAAAGAAAAAATGAAAAACGTGGAAGAACGAAACACGTAAGTACATAGTCCTTGCCGCATTTTCAGTATCAATGCTCCGCCATGCGAGACGACATAACCGCGGAGCATTAATGTCTCATCGATCCTCGGTTTTTTTGCGAGAACGCTTCTCGAAAGCATGAAATCGAGAATGATTCTTCTTACAGCTATTGTATCCCGATATCGTACTTCACGATCACCGGACAGTTATCGTCTTTTTCTACGATAATGGTGATACGACGATATTGAAACGATCGAAGACATAAATCAGAATGAATTAAAAGCAAATATCGCCCGTTCTGGCCCTTTCCAGTGAAATGTCCTTATGGTACAGCGACTGAATAAAAGAAAAAGAGAAGCACTTAGATCGTTTTATGCATGTCTACGTATTATATTTCTCGTTCATACGTTTTTTGATACATCCCATTAATACATACATATATATATTTATTCCTTCTTTCTTTTTCTTTTTCTTTCCATTTGAATCGCACTTATTAAGCCACTTTTCGTGTACCGACTTCGTATAAACAGTATTTTCCACTTGATGCTTCCCTAATATTTGGACTAGAAAGAGGTTCTCTACTCAATCGTAAGATCGTAAGATCAAGTAGACTCTTACCCCTAAACGTTTGTCTATCATTTTCTTTCTCACCAGTACTTACATTTTGTTTCGATTTTCGAAACGATTGAAAAATCACTTATTGCACTTCGAGCAACTTACTTTTTTTTTTAATTTTATCGCATTTTTGTTCTTTGCCATTACTTGATTACGAATGAACAATTATGAGCGATTCATTCTTACGAGTGAAAGGATGACATAAATGAATTCTAAGGAAATGTCTAATAACAGTTCGCATAAATTCTTTGTGCTTGAGCGTAAAACATTCAATAGCGATCGAAGAATGAATTGGAAATAAAACGAAACCCAATCTTTCACCGTTGTTTCTTCTTTTCTTTTATCAGCAATTTTAAATCTTTGTTCCTCAACAAAAATATGCTTTCATACCGGATACGGATACCGTAACCAAAGTGAACTTTCGTATGCAAGACCGCATAGCATCCAAGAGAGAGGAAGAGAGAGAGAGAGAGAGAGAAAGAGAGAGAAAGAAAGAGAAAAAGAGAGAGAGAGAGAGAGAAAGAGAGAGAAAGAAAGAGAAAAAGAGAGAGAGAGAAAGAGAGAGAAAGAAAGAGAAAAAGAGAGAGAGAGAGATAAGGAAATGGAAAGAACAAGATACGCTTTTCCGTACGCGTTTCCGGTGTTCTGTTTTCTCTTCCCTTCTTTTTTGTTCCTTCTATCTCTCTCTCTCTCTTTCTCTCTCTCTCTCTCTCTCTCTTTCTCTTTCTTCCTCTCCCTCTGTCTCTCTCTCTTTGTTTCTCTCTTTCTCTCTCTCTCTCTTTCTCTTTCTCTCTCTCTCTCTCTTTGTCTCTGCCTTTGTCTCCGTTTGTCTCTTGTATGGCTAGTAGCATTGGTATGCAATTCGTGGTTGACATTAAGCGTTTTTTATTTCCTTTTTTTTGTACTAGACGAGGTAAAGGAGTCGTATATAGGCCGCCGACGATGACGACGAAGGCGACGACGACGTGTGTAAGAGAAACTCGAAGTCTCGGCGGAGGGCTTCGAGAGACACAACAGGCAAGCAAAGCAGGCAGGCGGGCGGGCTCCGTGTGTGTATAAAGAGGAAGAGAGAGAGCCGGAGAGAGCCGGAGAGAGCTAAAGAGAGAGAGAGAGAGAGAGAGAGAGAGAGAGAGAGAGAGAGAGAGAGAAAGAAAAGGAGAGAGAGAGAGAGAGAGAAAGAGTAAAAGCAGACGTGTCGCGTCTTTGGATTCTCGCAAAGACGGACGGTATAAGTGCACACTCTTTCTCTCTCTCGCACTCGTTCAGTCTGGCGCACTTAAAAGGTTAAGCGCGTAGTCGGGAGGCCGGCAGGTTGAATATCTCGCAGCTGCTGGCGTCCAGCGACAGCAACGAGTCACGATGGCTGAGCGGAGCACAGTGGTGGGGTGTGTGTGGGTGCGCGCGCGCGCTCGAGCTTGCGAACGAGAGGGGTTAAAAAGAGAATACTGACTGGTTGGCGGGGGTGGAAGGCGGAAGGCAGACGGGCGGCAGACAAACCCGTGCTTATCCCCACCGAACGAGCAGCCCCACCGGTCCGTGACTCACCAAACCGTTAAGGGATGAAGCCGCCCTGCTTTTACTCTACGCGCACACACGTGTAACAAGCATATATCTTTCTCTTTCTCTCCTTCTTTCTCTTTCTCTCTTTTTCTTTCTCTCTTTCTCTCTTTCGCTACACGGAACTCTACCGTAAGTATTTTACTGCTGCATAGTGTCTCATGTAATCCTTCTCTTTTCTACCTATCCTATACCCTTATACACATGTATAATACTATCTATATGTATGTGCCGACGATATACACTTCTATTTATACGTCTATAGACAATGAAACGGGTGTGAAAAAATATACCTACATATGTTCCTATGTACGAACAAACGAACGTGGCACCGAACTCTCAGTCAAGCTTCTAACCGCATGCACGATCTCTTCAACCCCTTTTGAGACTTTTCATTTAAATCTTACTCGTTGGCGATTCCAACACTCACTCCAACAGCCATGGACTCCTCTTTACGCAACGACAAAAATGTTTCTCTTTCGTAACTCGTAATTATTTCAAGCATATCATGTATGCATATACGTACATAATATGTATACGTACACGGTCTCAGTCCTTGAACATGAAGTACATCGCACTCTTTTGTTTCTAACTATCTGTCTGTCTATCTGTCTGTCTGTCTGTGTGTATGTCTGTCTGTCTGTCTCTCTCTCTCTCCCTCTCCCCTTCTCCCTCTCACTCTTTCTTTCTCGCATGTCTAGTATGCGAACGCACTCACAAACACAACATTGGTAATGGTGGGAAAGGGTTGTAACGCATTACACGATACGAGCCCAGTCCGACCCAACAACATACTGCAATTGGGTGGGGTGAACGTGTGCGAGGGTGAACATGCCGGAGGGTATGAAGGAAAAAAAAGGAAAAAAAGAAGAGCAAGAGAGAAAGAGAGGGAGAGAGAAAAATAGTCAGGACTAGTGGCGTCCAGAAAAATCACCATAACCGCGACGACGTTGCTACCTAGACGACGATGTCACGACAGCGGCGTTTTTATTCGTACGGACGAGCGTGTAATTAAAATTCGCGTAAATTGCGGTGCACGGTGAATCTACTTAATTGTCCGCAAATGAATGAATGAAAAGAGAGAGAGAGAGAGAGAGAGAGAGACGAAGAGAGAGAGAGAGAGACGAAGAGATTGACGATGAGAGAACTCAGTAAATTTCATCGTCAATCGTCAGACCTTACTTGCTTGATTAAATATAATTAATCCTCTCAAACAATAAATAAATCCGCTCAAACAATAAATATAACTAATTCTTGAAAATACATGTGATTGCAAAGTAACAATGTATTAACATTTAATCTAATTTAATGGATAATTTAACATATATATAACATTTAAACTTTTTATTAAATATCGTAAAAAAGATTATGAAAATGTATTTTCTTCATTATATTCACTTTAATAACTAGTTATAATTCTCTTTCTTTTTTGCTAAAAATTTCTAAAATAATAAATCACGTATTAAAGGATCAATACAAAAATTCTGTTACGTACGTTTTGACATCGTAAAGTGATATCTAGTTGCATAGATTTAACGAAGTATATTTTCTTTCCTGTATGAAAATAAACCGACGATCATTTTTTAATGTCTAATGTTTCGTTATTACTATGATAATCAATTACGTTGATGGTTCTAGGGCGTACGCTGAACGGACAACCATTACTGGAATTTCCAATGTCCAGCGGCGAACCGGCATTAGAACCTCTCAGGATCAAACGGGCGACCCTTTGGACACGAGTAGAATTCAGACAAACTCATCACTATCAACATCATCGTCAGGGTCAAAGCAATCAAAGGAACATCACTCTCTGGGTATTTAGGGTGCGTTGCGGCAACACGACGCATTTGCGCGGCAAGGTAATTACATTTTAAGATAAACGAACATTTTTAAGATATCGAAATACTTATTATTATATTTTGCTCCTTTTTAATTGTCAATTGAATTTATGATGACGTAGAAAGGAAATAATAATAAATTCATCGATAAAATTATTCGACGATCTTCTAAAAACATGATAAAAAAAAACAAAGAAAAACTACCGAATAAGAGATAGAATTTGACGTTTTAAGATCATAACGTTAATCAATGAAAACTCATTTAACCGTGTTATATTTTAACACGTTTGACAAGCCTACCTACCTTTAACAACTATCCTCATTTGTTTCACTGGCAAGATATTGATACAATACAACGAGAAAAGCTTTTTACCTTTTTTATCGGATTTTTCCGACACTAATCCCATCTACTATCTCAAGCTGTATTTATAATAATCCCTCCGATATTATACGCAGCGGTCGTGAGGTTTCGGTCGAGCGTACAGCTTCCGTGATATCGCTTGAAAAATAATATTTTCTTGTTTACCCTCGCACACAGACGAAAATATATATATATATGTAGGTATTTTTAATCGATCGATCGATATACAAAATATTCATCTAATCGTAAACAAAGTATTACTTTATAATTGACTGATTTGTTAAGATAGATGGTCGTCACAACGATTACGTGATCTTCCAAAATTAACGACATAAATCGGTCAATTTTCGTTCGATTTTTAGGAACTCGGGGAGCATCTTGAGATGGTGACGTTCCTAGGCGTAAATGTTGGTCAATTGGGTTGGCAGAAGTTCGATGTAACAAAGGTCGTCAGCAATTGGTACACAGCAAACTCGAATTCACCGAGGGATAAACTGACGCTCTTGGTGGATTGCACAGGATGCGGCACGCACGTTCACGTGTCGACTTTTGGCGGACACTCACCGCACGTGATCGAGTCCTCGTTAAATCCAAAAGGCAAGCAGAACAGTATATCTGATGCTTAGAACACGCAATACGAGATCATTTAACTTGATAAATATCAAATCTTCACATAGATAATCCCATATCGTAATTAAACATCCCGACAACAAAAAATGACATTCTTTAGTAATTTTATTGAAATGGAGAGGAAGAGATATCAAAAGGAAAAGTATATCAAAAATAAATGAAATTCAATTGCAAACATCTACAGAAAATAACCTTATTTCAATTCCGTATCATAACACAGAGGTACTACGAAGTCGTATCGGTTAATATGGCTTCCATAGTATAAAGACTAGTCACACAAAGTTGGGAGGTGATACGATAGAAATAACGTTTAGCCTACATTCGTATCGCCGGTAACTAATTTGAGAAGGCATATTGGGGTTAACGAACAACTCTTTCAATATGATAATTTGATTCCATGGATTCGCTGGGATCGAACATGGTTGTCTTTCTCTTGTTCCCATGCTGCTATTTTAACCCCTTTCGTAGCATTAGTATTCTAGATTGCTGCTCTTCCGAAATATTGTATGTACGTACGAGATGGTGGGGTATATTCTGTTCGAGATTATTCGGATGTTACATATTATCGATTGTTTTGCATCAATACTTACTTCGATTTGGAAATAATTTCGAATCCAAAATTTTATGATTTCTTTTCTGTGATCCACATGACATTTAATTGCAATTGAAATACGTCCAATTATATTAAAGAATTCTTTCAAACGATATCAATAATTTGCATTGTTCATCGTATTTTAATATTTGTAACTCTACATGCGATTAATTTGTTTAATATTTTTTAAATACCCTATTTGTTCATTTTATATTAAGAATCTTATTATTATTGTATAAGATGTATTTGTTTTGTTTCTTAATCTTCGTTAAAAGATTTCCGAATCGAAATTCATTTGGCATAGAAAGCTAAACTTCTTATGTAATCATTAATTAAAGCAAAAAAGTCTCAGATATTTTATACATACATACGTACATACATACATACATATATACATACATATATACATACACGTGGAATGTGACAAACCGAGCACGCTCCAATATAATCAGCTTTATTTCTCTGGTTCCCTTTATCAGCTTACCTAATCGGCTTACTTCTCACCGACGTATAACCGCGAACGATTAACATTTTTTGCTTCCATTACACTACACTCGCACAATCGAGTATTTCGATCAGTTTAATTAAAGAGTATTCTGTTTTGAATGAATAGACTAAAAACAGAATGTCCGTGGAAATGAAGATGGAAATGAACATTTTCTTTTTCTAATGGAATATACAATCATTTCATAGTTAGATTTTGAAGCAGAACATATGTATCAGATTACGCATGATTTTTAGCACTTCTCAATGGTCATAAATTTTCTAGATATGTATATCGTATCGCTATCGAGTTTTCTCATACTCATCAAAAATTCCTTTCACAAAAATACATATATGCGTAAAGTACATACATATCGTATGCGAATCATTCGAGTTCGAATGTCAGTCTGCTTTTTCCAACTTACATTCGATCTCTCCTCGTATTCCGATAACTCCCCGATAAACTTTCCCAAGATTGCTTTCCTTAACCAATAAGCTGTTTCTCGGGTATAAAGTAGATAACTCCAAAATTCGGTCGATGCGTATCGAGAAGTTTGTCGTGGAGAACAAGAGTTCCGAAGATTCGTCGACATGTATATCTTGTCCCTATCTATTATCAATGAATCGAACAAATAACAAAATTTAACATTGATTTTCATACATTGCAGGTGCTCAAGATCCGGATAGGCCTTTCCTCGTTGTACGTACGGATCCCGCAGCTGTGAAACGCGTAAGAAGACGAGCGATCGAATGTAGCGGCGCGATAAAAGGTCAATGCTGCAAACAGAGATTCTACGTGAGCTTTTCTCAGCTCGGATGGGATGATTGGATAATCGCTCCTCAAGGGTAATAAATCACGATCTCTTCCGCAAAACTATAAATTAGTATTAGTACAACGAGTATCAAAAGTATCTAAATGAATGGAGGATTAATATATTTACATTGCTGATCGATACTAGTACTAGTTGGACGATAATAGTCAAGTAGCGATTAACACGATAAGCAGGAACGTTGGGAGGAGAGAGAGAGAAAGAGAAAAAGAGAAAGAGAAAAAGAGAGTGAGTAAGAGAAAGAGAGAAAGAGAAAGAAGATTTTCGTTTTCAATCTGATAATAGCAACGATCGATATTCGCGATCAATGTTGACTTATCGTCTGGCAATCGTATAGAATCTACTCTATAGACGTCGGAAAAGACGGTCGCTATGCTTCACAGAGCCGACAGTAGTTTTCCAGAGAGCTCGCCATCACTCGGTATACGTAGTCATTCGTAAGGTATCATGAGAAAGCCCTTAAATCCTAGGCAATTGTTATAAACAGAATCCCATGACACGACTGGAGAAGAGAGAAAAAGAGAGAGGGATAGAGTAAAAATACCAGAATTAAAAAATCCTTATCGATGACTATTCTCAATTAGCATTTTATTTCTCTCTCTCTCTCTCTCTCTCTCTCTCTCTCTCTCTCTCTTTTATTATTCACATCGACATATTCATTGTTTATTTAATAAAAAAAATATATGGCCATAGGAAACATTTCTATGTAAATTGTAACTGTACATTTTGATGACGTAATTCAAAGTAATTCAAATCCGTTAAATAATATCTCCATCATAATGATCTAAAATGTTTGTGGGTCGCAGATATTACGCGAATTACTGCAGAGGCGACTGTGCGGCGGGTCACAGAACGCCGGACACGTTCCTAAATTATTACACGCACGTGATCGAAGAGTACAGAAAGATGGATCGGCTCGCCGGTATGCAGCCATGTTGCGCACCCCTCAAGTTTTCGCCGATGTCGTTGATATACTATGGACCAGACTCAAACATCATCAAGAGGGATCTCCCAAAGATGGTGGTCGACGAGTGTGGCTGCCCTTAATTCGAACCTCCAATGACAGAAGGAAGGAAGGAAAGAAAAAAATAATGAAAAAAAAAGAAAAAAATCGACGCCTCCCCTGCGAAAGATCCTCCTCCTGCTCTTTATCGCGATTTATTCGGGAGTCTTCGACCACGAGGGATTTTGTTTGGAACTTCCTGCATTCTTCGTTTTCAACCAAACACTTCCTTTCGAGAAGAATCGAAAGGAATCGAAACGAGCGGCCACGATCGAAATTTCGCCGAAGTCAATGAAATTGTTCTCGAAAACGCGATCGTGTTCGCTATTACCGTGCATAATAAATAGTCGAGAAGAAAAGGAGACGAGAAAAAGTTAGAAGAGAGAAAGTTAGAAGGAGAAGTTAGAAGAGGACGGTACGAAACGTAATGGAACGGACAGGAACAGAATAAAATTAAACAAAAAGAAAAAAATAAATAAAAGAATGAATACCTCCTCGGTCGGTCTCTCGGGTGTGTCCACCATTTTTGAGGTATAATATATTATAAATAATATACATACATATATACAGGCGATACCTATACATAGGCGAATACATTTGACAGATGAATACATGCAAATATATATATGTATATATATATGTATATATATATATATATATATATAAATATATAAACTATATATATATATAAAACTATATATATATATAACTATATATATATAAAATATATATTATATATATATATATATATATATATATATATAAACGTATCTTACACTTACACTTACATATACGTGACCGACTCGTTTCCTGGCGATTTAATCGTATCGCAAGCGAAGTCACCGCGTGCGAATTCTTATGGTGAGCTTAGTCATTTCTATTAGTTGCGATAAAACGGTGGTAAAGAGTTTAAATAAGATATTTCAGACTTTTGCCCCGCATTTCGCGCATCTATGCGACTCCGCATACGCGCACATATACATGTACACGTATACATATACACGGAAAGCACAGATATACATGTGCGCGCGCGTTAAATTACGCGAGGTGATTTAAAAACGAATATAAGTATTTAAAGATATAACAAATAAAAAAAAAAGAACAATACGGGCGTAAATTCTAAGTGTAAAAAATAAACTCAATCTAATTGCCTTGTTTTTTATGCGAAACGTATGAAAGTATCGAATAACAATTTAACAAAATAAAAAATATTATTAAAAATCTATATATATATATATATATATTATAAATACTATATATAAATATAATTGAACGCGCGTAAAACGATAAACTTAGTAAGTCAAGGGCGGGGAGGCGGGGTTTTCTGGAAGGACCGAATTGGGAAGGGAAACGTTTATTAAGAGTTCAAAAAGGCTAAGGAAGCAAAATTATTATTTTTATTACTATTACTATTATTATTTTCATTATTATTATATCATCAGCACTATTGTTTCACGTTTTTTTGTTTTTTATTTCTCTCATCATTGTTGTTTTGTTTTTATTGTTGTTGTTGTTATTGTTATTATTATTCTTATTTTTATTATTATTATTATTATTATTATTATTATTATTATTATTATTATTATTATTATTATTATTATTATTATTATTATTGTTATTATTATTATTATTGTTATTATTATTATTATTGTTATTATTATTATTATTATTATTATTATTATTATTATTATTATTATTATTATTATTATTATATTATTATTATAATTATTATTATTATTATTATCGCCGTAAATCGTATTTAATTATAATGATACCTCGGACTTTGGATTGCAATGAGCACGTGCGAGTTTCGAAAAATATTTTTGCTAATCGATATGTTATAATTGACTTAGCATAAACGTAACAATTTCAAAGAAAAAAGAGACTAATAGAAAAAAAAGGATCAGTAATGTTCTTTATATTCTCTTTTTCTTCTTTTTTTTTCTTTATGAAACGACATTCTATTACCTATAAACGAATGCACATTGACACCTTAGCCTTATTAAACAAGAAAACGAAAAAAATAGCGCGTACGAATGTTTCTTCCGATTTCGCGAGGACGAGAAAGACGCATAATATTGACCGAATACGACGCTCGCAGAATTTTTCTCATTCAGAACGCGATATAAGAGGATTCGAAAAAAAAAATATAAAAAATGAAAAATATGAAAAAGATGAACCTACACACTAAATACACGGAGTAAACAACGCTACACATACACACATACATATACAACACATTCATTTATATATATCTACATATATATGCGTAAGAGGCATTTCATGAGAGATTGTATTAATTTAACAAAAGAAAGTGAGAGAGAGAGAGAGAGAAGAAAAGAAAGAAAGCGCGAACGATAGATAGAAATAGATAGATAGATAGATAGATAGATAGATAGAGAGAGAAAGAGAGAGAGAGAGAGAGAGAGAAAGAGAGAGAGAATAAAGTATATAAGACAAGAAAAATAATTAAAAAACGCGCAAATTTTCATTTATATTTACATGAGCTATTTAATAATATCGAATTTGGAAAGATCTTTTTCGAAAACGAAGGAGAGAGAGGGAGAGAGAGAGATGAAGAGAGAGAGACAAAAAGAAACATCGAGATTGAAAACGATTGATTAGTGATCTTTTTTTAAGAAGATAAGGAGCGAAGGAGGACGGAAAAAGAGGGAGAGACTATGGCAAAAAAAGGAAGAAATATTAAGGCGATATTAATTAAAAATAATGAACAATAACGTGACAATAAACCGATCGAGGATCTCACACGACACACATAAGAGAGTTGCGAGCCTCGAGCAACGGAAATATTCTGGGGCAATTATTAAATTTCTAATAAGAAGCGTCTAAAGAGTGAAAGAAAGAAAAAAAGAAAAAGAGAGAAAGAGAAAAATTTGTTACTTTTCTTTTTCTTTTCTTTTCTTTTCCCTTCTCCGGTCCACTCACTCACCTCGCTACGTCGTTTTTTCGGAAGAATCGACTTAGCAAGGAGAAGATCGGACAATGAGTTTGGAAAAAAACGATTCTTTTATTTCTTTCTTCGATAAGTATGGAGATGAGAAAGAGCGCGAACGAGCGCAAGAGAGAGCGCGACTAGAGAGTATTATTGCTAGAATGGACGTGGACGATTTTAACTTTCGAGAAAGGTATATTTAAATTTTTGTGGGATAATTCGTTCACCCACGCAGCCTTATTGGGCCTTATTAAGGTATTATCGCATCAATACTAAATTAACTCTTAAAACTAATGATAAAGCTTAAGTAAAACAAAAGAAAAAAAACGACATAAAAGACGACGGCGAGAGAGAAAGAGCGAAAGTGAGAATGTGCAAGAACGAGAGAGAGAGAGAGAGAGAGAGAGAGAGAGAGAGAGAGAGAGAGAAAGAGAAAGAGAGAGAAAGAAAGAG